CGAGTTTGCCCTGCACTGTGCTCAGCTCGGATTTGCTTATGTCTTGCCAGAGTCTCAAGTCACTAAAATTCGGCTCCAGCTGAACTCAACACATTAAAAAGTAATTCATCTTATCAATATTTATTGAGCGCCTATAATGTGCCGGCTGCGGGGCTGGGATCCCGCAGTGAGTCGGCAGAGTTTATTACACTGAGGCCAGGAGGCAGGCGATAAGCTAGGAAAATAAGGTTAAGAGACGTAAAAGAAAAAGACCAGACGTGAACTAGACCAGGCAGGGCAGGCCTCGCCGATGCTGAGGTTTGCTGTCCAGGAGCGGGACTGAAGGGAGAGTTTCTAGAGGACAAGGAGTTTTAGGGCTCTTTTCGCCAGGACGCGATTGGTCAGCATCTTCCCCACGCTGCAACCTGCGGGGCACCCACCAGGCCTCTGGGAGGCCGTGAACGGAACTTTTAACAGGCGTCGCCGAGAGCTACCCCCGGACACCAGCGGCCGCCTCCCTTGCGCTGGCGCTAAAGGCACTGCGGAACCAAAATTCGGAGGGAAGCGGGCGCTGGCGGACGGCGGAAATGTGCTCCCGGAAGCAGCCCGGCACCCGAGCATGGCGGCCGCCCTCTGCGTGCGCTGGAGTCTGTGCCAGGCCGGAACCTGGCTGCTCCCGTCGCGCTGTCCCCGCCGGACTCTGCACAAGCAGGGAGAAGGCACGGAGTTTCAGAGCATCTACAGTTTGGACAAGCTCTACCCCGAGTCCCGGGGCCGGGACACCGCCTGGAGAGTCCCGGTGAGCCGGGAGGGCTGGACGGAAGAGGCGTTCCGCTGCCGCTTCCGGTGACGTCAGGAAGCCGGGGCCCCATTGGCCGGGCTTGGAGTACGTCGAAGGGGGGGGCGCGCCGGACGACGCCGTTGCCGCCCAAGTGGTGTGGTTGCCGGGGCAACGGGGGCCCGGGTCTCCGCGTGCACTCTGGGGTCGTGCGTGATTTTGAGGTGTGCGGGCTCCGGGAGAACACGTTCCTCGGCCGTTAGGCCCAAATCTTCTCCCAAGGGAGAACGTGAACCTTCTAGGCCTCCAGAGTGGACTATAAAGGGCTGGCGACCCCAGATGGCTTGTTCTCTTTTGGAAAGTTACCCGGTCCCTAGCCTCCAGCAACCCCAGCACGCCTGTTGAGGTGGCTTCTCGTCCGTTTCTTCAGGATGCATTTATTAACAACTCGAGGCGTTCAGGCGCTGTATCAGGCCCTGATACATGATCCCTTCCAGCTCCATCCATGTTGCTGCATAAGACATGAGTTTATCTCTTTTTCATTGCTGAGTAATATTCCATTGGGTATAGGTACCATCTCTTTTTAATCCAGTCATCTACATTTGGGCATTTGGGTTGATTCCATGTCTTTCCTATCACTCCCAAGTAATTTTAAGATAAAAAGGGATGAAGGAGTCAGAGGAGGATACTTTGAGCTGGGATGGCCAGAAAGTTTCCAAAGCATTTGCACTGGACATCAGGAGTTGAGGATGAAAGGGGTTGCTAGAGAGGAGCAGCTCAAGGAGAGAGGAAGGCGAGAATCACAGAGCGAGCAGTGGGGTTTGACAAAAATCGTGAAGGCAGGTGTGTGCCAGTCATATCAAACAGACAACCTTAAATGCGAGAGGTTTGCTCTCCCAGGAGAGCCTTTGGCTCTCCTTCCTGCAGGAGCCTGGTGTCTGATGGCACCTGACACACTCAGGTGGAAGCGGGAAGGCAGGAGAGGTCTGAGCTGGGGGAAGCTGTCTCTGTCACTCTCACTTTAATAAGGAGCATGCTGGGGACCTGAGAATAGTTGCATTACATTTGCGTTGTGACATCACATCATTTCTCTGCGGGCCTGGACCCCCTGGAGTCACCCAGCTGGTAGCATTTAGGTGACACCGTGTCTGTTCCCTTGCAGGATGATGCACAGCAAGCCAGCAGCGACATCCCTCTAGGTGAGTCACTTGTTTCATTCCTCCTCACATTCCTCCAGGTCTCCGTAGCCATGAGTGTGCAATGGTGGAGTCATTTCAGCATTGTGAGAATAACCAAAGGAAACTCTGGCACAGCCTCACTGGAGCACCGTGCAGCACGCAGCACAGGTGACGAGCTCCTGATGTCCTTGTGACATGCAGCAGCCTTTACCATCGATGGGTTGATCACTACTAGAGAAAAGTGTGGCGCAGGAGCGTTCCTGTCGCAAGTTACCGTCTGCATTTTATAGGTATATGTGACATGTCTTTATCTCGCCATACACGGAGCTCTGGAAGGACTTAAAAGGAAACTGACAGTCTATCGGGTTCCACGTCCAGGACATTGGCGACACAATATTAAACTGAGTGTGTCCCTTGGCTTGAGCTCTTGGCAGAGTGCTTGCTTTAAAGCTGACAGGCCGGCAGCAGAAAGCCGGGCAGCAGAGCTGGCGGCGTGAACGGGGCCAGGACAGACGGTCCAGGTCAGCACTTCACATTCTCTTCCGTCTGAGTGGCCTCGGGCGGTCACTCACTCAGGATTTGAAGTGTGACATCTGTAAATAATCTCTGACCTTCGATACCGAGTCACCGGGAGACGTGTGACGAGGTCGGTGCGTGGGAGCCGGGCAGCGGCCTGTGCATTTGCCGTGGGTGAGCTTCCTGTGCTGTGGCTCTGCAGGTCGCCTGACTATATCTTACTGTCGGAGTAGCGGTCCCGGCGGCCAGAATGTTAACAAAGGTACTGGGGTCTTTTTTCCTCCCCTTTTAAAGCTTAGCTGGAGGCACCTTGAGTTGTTCCATGCCCACATTCATGTGGGATACAGGGTTTTCTTCAGTGGGAGATTAAATATTGCCAGCTTATAATCCTCTTTATTCTTCAGAATGTGGTCTGATTCTCTTGGCTTGTGGGGCCTAGACAAAGGGGAGTCACAGTGCGACTTGGCAGCTGCCCCGAGAACAGGCTTCCTTCGTTCTTGGGAGCCCAGCCCCCACGTCCTTCTCAGGGCCTTCAGCAAGTGTACGAGAAGCCCTGGCAGCTTATTTTTGTCCCGAAGAGTCTCCCAGGCTGCAGGTTGAGCCCATGGGCACCTTTGCCCGGCTGGGGGTCTCACCTCCTGTTTCGGGACCCTCACCAGTCCCCCGGGGGCTGCGGAGTCTCCGTAGCGTGTCGGTGACCCCTGCTCCCTTTATTGACAGTGAATTCCAAGGCTGAAGTCAGGTTCCACTTGGCAACAGCCGACTGGATCGCAGAGCCCGTGAGGCAGAAGATGGCCATCATGGTAACGGCCCCTTCTCTGCCTTTAGTTCTCAGTCGCTTTTAAGCCTTCCCTCTCTACAGCGCTGGCTTTGCTCCTGTTCTCCGCAGCATAAAAATAAGATCAACAGGTCAGGAGAGTTGATCCTCACCTCTGAATGCAGCCGCTATCAGTTCAGAAATCTGGCAGATTGCCTGCAGAAAATTCGAGACATGATTGCTGAGGCCAGCCAGCCAGCCAAGGAGCCATCCAAAGAAGATGCAGCTCTTCGCAGGGCCAGGTACCTGTTCTGTGCGCTGGGGGACAAGGGGATACCGGGAGAGAGGCAAGATGAAGCCCAGGCCTTTGGGCAGGGAGCTGCAAGACGCGGGGAGCCCAGACAGGCCTGAGGCGGGCTGGGCGCTGTCACCGCGGCTGCCCCGAGCTCCTCGCCTCCGCTGTGTCGCAAGGTCCGGGGTGGGCCTCGGGGCCTGACGGCAGACTTTCTATTTCAGGGTGGAAAGCATGAATCGGGAAAGGCTGAGACAGAAGAGAATAAATGCTGCCGTGAAGACAAGCAGGAGGGCGGAGGTGGACTGAAGCCGTCTCTGCAGCCGCGCAGACCTCCCGCGTCCGCCAGGGTCCCGGGGAGACTTGTTCCTGGGCCACCACCAGGCGTGTCAGAATGTGGGTGCTTGGTGGGCAGTCCTCACGGTCAGGCCTTCGTGTCCCGTCTCATGTGTCAGCTGCAATAAAATCCTAAACTCGCATGGGCGTCCCTTCTCGTTCGGATACTTCAGAACAGAATTCTGCTGTTTCCTGCGAGCAGCAGCTGGCCGGCCTGCCCAGCACAGCCCAGAGGAAACGGCTGAGCTGTGGGGTCGGCACAGGTGGGGCGGAAGGGCCGAAGCAGGGGAGTGGCAGCCACTGGGCGTCGGGACAGGCAGAGACTATCAGCCGTAGAGCGGAGAGGAGAACGTGTCCCTGGAGTGGGAGAGCTTGAATGAAGGAGACCGGGGAGGCGGGGTGGGCGCGGTGGGGGCCTCCCCAGCTCTTGGGAGTCTGCGCAGGCGGGAGTAGCTCAGCCTGCGCTCTCCAGCCTCGGGTGGGGAGATGTGGTTCTCAGCACAGGCGGAGCTCCCCGGGTGCTCTTAGCGGGGAGCTGCTGAGTGGAGAGGGCGGGAGCAGCACTGGGTGCTGTCTCGGGCTTGGGGTTGTGGAGCAAGAGCAGCGTGAGCGGACGAGGAGGTGTCTGCCGTCCTGCGGGCGAGGGAGTGCCAGGCCAGCCACTGTGCTGGTACCTGCGTGTGGACACTCACTCCATCTGGTTACTCGTGTGGCTGTTCTGTGATGTTCTAAATGCAGAATAACCAGCTGCTGTCGCAGAGACACCACGTGACAGGGACTCGGCCTCAACAGACAAGAAAGCCACTGACAGATGTGTGGAGCCACGGCCCTTGTCCTCAAGGGGGCCAAGGCGCGTGCGCAGGAAGCTCACCCTCCATCGGCTCCCTCGCTACCAACGGTGCCGAGTGAACAAACACCAGGCACCGGGGCGACTCCTGGGCAGTCACTGAAGGGGACGGCAGCGTCCCTTTGGAGGATTTACAGCCCATCAGGTGGTGATAAAAAATGAGAAGGAAGTTGACTTCTGTTAGGACCTGCCTCGTGACCCACCACGTAGAGATAACATAAGAAAGGTCTAGTAGGTCGGGAGGGGGCAGAGGAGCTATACTTGTACCGGGCAGGCACCACGGGGGAGGGCAGGAGGGGCTGAGCCTCTCCGGACCTTGGTATCCCTGGCATAAATAGGTATAAAAATAGTGGTGATCACAGCGCCCTCTCAGAGGGCTAGTGGGGCATTCAAGTGGCTAGTGATCCCGAGAATGTACGTGGGGACATTAGGATTAATGACCTAGTTTGGCTGAACTCAGGGAGCGCGGAGCCATGACGGCACGTGTACTGAGCTGAGTGGGCGCCTGGTCTGTCTGGGCCTTCAGTGCAGTGGCCGGGACATCCAGACTGCCTGCCCAGAGGCTGCCACTGATGTGCATGGGCAGGGGGACCGCCCAAGTGAGCAGCAGGGACCCATCCTGGCACCACAGTAAAGAGATGGAGGGGGACAGGGAGAGCTGCAGTGGGAGCAGGTGTGTGACGTGAAGCTGGTGTCCAGGAGACAGGAGTCACGGGACAGGCTTTGGAGGATGGTGGGTGGCGCCCAAGGTTTTACCTGCGAGGAGCTGACTTGGTGTACCCTGGGGCAGGGGACCTTCGGGAGTGGGGCCCAGGCAGGGCCAAGCTCGGGAGCAGCTGGGGACACAAGACCCAGGAGCTGCTTGGTGAGATGGGGGCAGGGGCACCCTGTGGGTCCCCTTTACCCTGGAGCCAGGCGCAGTTCCCGTGAGGCCTCAGAAGATACTGGATGTACGTGAGGGGCCGAGAAAGCGTTCAGGACACTCAGGAGGGGACGAGTGAAGAGAAACAAAATGGGCTGGGACAGAGTAGCGCATGCAAGGACTGCTTCTTAGGACAGGGCACAAGGAACGTGGGCAGCGGGTAGCCGCGATCCTGGGCCAAAGAGGCCAGAGTTGCCCAAATTCGTGGAGGTAAAGTATAGTGACGAAAACCAGGGGAAGCCACAACCGGGGGAAGGCACAAAGCGGCTCTTTGGGGTGCTGGTGGTGTTTCTTCATCCACGCGGTGGTTAATGAGTCCTCCGACATTGACAAGGCCATCGATGGGCTGTGGCCTTCAGATTGGGCCACAACTTAAGAGGGGGGACCCCCAGGCGGAGACCGGAGACCGGGCAGGTGGGCTGCCTCCCCCTGCCGCTGGTGTCAGGGAGCAGGGTTTCTGCAGACACAGCTTCTGGCTCCCCTGAGGTGGGAGGCTGGGGGTGGGGAGGGCTCAGCCAGGCCCCGGAGCAATAAACGCGCCCCGCAGCGCTTTGCTTCATCGGGCAGAGGTGCATGGTTTTTACAAGGGGCTTTGTGTGGTGCTTGAAATTGTTTCCCTATTAGCTGTGTGTGCCATGCTTTTGAAAACAAGTCGTTAGGATGAAGCCTGTGCTGGCGGACCCATTTCTTTTCTCTGACAGATGTTGTGTCAGTTGTTATGACTGGAAGGATTTACTTTTCCTAGTTGTACATCTTCTCAAGATGGTGAAGTCAGTGATGCCCCCGTCTCCGGGCCCGGGCACACGACGAGCGGAGGCGGGCTGGGGACGCGAGCTCGGGGGACTCTGCGCCACCCCGAGGCCGGACCACCGACAAGGGGCAGAGAGTCAGCAGCCACGCGCCGCAGGCCCCAGTGGCCTAATGGATAAGGCACTGGCCTCCTAAGCCAGGGATTGTGGGTTCGAGTCCCACCTGGGGTAAAAGGTGGTTTTTTTTTTTTTTTTTTTCCCCCTTTGGCCTCGGTAAGAGCCGATTTCTTATTAAGCACCCCAATTATTTGGGTCCAAGGGTTCCCTCAAGCTGAGTCCCCCAGTTTTTGTACTGCCTCGGGAGCCTAGATCTGGTCCCACAGGCTTAGTCCGAAGCAGCTGGTTTGCGGACTGAGCCCTAGAGCTCCCGGCGCTCCGTGCATCAAAAGGACCCCGGTGCGAGGCGCTCGCACCACCCCAGGTGGGACTCGAACCCACAATCCCTGGCTTAGGAGGCCAGTGCCTTATCCATTAGGCCACTGGGGCGCGACAGAAAGCCGCTCCACGTGGTGCGTGGTAGCGCGCCATCGCGCGGGCGCACGCCCCGGGGCCAGACCGCGCGGCTCGTAGCGGGACGCGGCCGCACACGCGACTCGCGCCGCAGGACCAACGGAGGCCAAGCGCGGAGAGCGGGCAGTGGCCGTCGGGAACCGAGGACGCCCGACGCCGCCCCAAAAGGAGTCCGACCACGCCGGGACCCGAACCCCCAACTTCTCATCCGGGTCAGACGCATTTTTCGCAAGGCCACGCGGCGAGCCGGCAGGTGCACCGCCCCCCGGAAATGGCGGCGCGAGGTTGGTGGGAGGGTATCCCCAGCGCTCTGCCACGGGGCGCAGCACACAGACGCAGAGGGGCCGAAGCCCAGGGGTGTCTTCGCGTCTTGCGTCAGAGCCGCTGCGCCCACAGGTCACGAAATAGGCAGCCCGGAGGTGCTGGCTGCGTGAGGGGACCGCGTGGCCTAATGGATAAGGCGTCTGACTTCGGATCAGAAGATTGAGGGTTCGAGTCCCTTCGTGGTCGGAATGTTTTGGGTAGCACATCTGCGTTGCCCCGAGCTCCACCCCCGCCCTTGTTTTAGATTCCGAAAGCGCTCAGTCCCCGGCAGCTACTAGCTGGTTTCGTTCCCTGGAGGCTGACACCAATGGCTCACGTCCAAACCCGGTTTCCTACAGAAAACTTCCGGTTCTGACGTCAACACAGGGCTCCTATAACGTCACCGTTTAAGAGCCATATGATCTCGCGCCGGTTGCAAGAAGCCCCAGTGGCCTAATGGATAAGGCACTGGCCTCCTAAGCCAGGGATTGTGGGTTCGAGTCCCATCTGGGGTGAGCTGACTTACTTTCTCTTGACTGTTTATGCACACATTTTTTCCAAAAACATCTACATAGTAAAAAACAAGTCCACGAGACATGTTACCTTCCTAGTAGCAGTTTTGCTGTGCCAGTGCTTGGTTGCAATGAATTTATCTTTTCTTTTTGATGAAAGCAACATGAGGGCAAATGAGGCCACTCTTCTGCTTGCCTTTCCCATCGATATCCAAACACCTGATGAAAGTGCTCCGTAAACCCTGCACACGAGGCAAGTCCATCTCGATATAGTCAAGAGGAGGCAAAACTGCAGCCAGTCCTTCCCTGTTCCCCAAGCCTCCCAATGGAGACAAGGGCCGGTGGGGTGGGCTGCTACCCAGCTCCAGGCTGCCAGTCTAGGTGTGGGCTGGGCCCTGTTGCGAGGACGCCCCCCATCCACTGTCCTGGGCCTGGATGAGGGGGAGTATGCGCATGGGACAGTGGGGTAACATGTCTCACTTGCATGGGCCCAAGTCTAGCAGGGAAAGGAGGGCACTCTCCAATCAGGGGAGCCCCAGGGCAGGTGCAAGGAAACCACCAGACGGGACTTCAGGATGCACCCTAAGGGGGAGTCCTGGGCCCCTCTAATGGGGAGACCCATCCAGGCTGAAAGAGGCAAGAGGAAGAGGCACTAGAAACAAGAGAAAGACAGGTTCACAGAGAGGGTCCACCCGCGGGAACTCCACCTTCAGGTCGACCTGACACTGCAGGAAGCCAACCAGGGAGTAAACACCCCAACCACCCCCTCTTTCTTGCCACTCTCCCACTAGGAATCCCCCTTGACTACACACAAGATACCCAAGGCAGGAGATCCAGTAGTGTCCACAAACATATCAGTATCCTCAGGTTGAGGATGTGGGAAAGATGGTGATTGGTGAGGACCGTGAAAGGGAAGACCCCTGGCCCATCCCAGAAGCTTAACTGGCATGTAGGGCTTACAAAAGCACCCCCAGACACCTGCAGCCTCCCAAGGCCCAGTAAGGAGAGCAGAGGTGAAGGAAACAGAAAAGCAGACACAACAAATCTCTGCCATGAGAAGAAATGAAACCAAATGAAAACCTTGAAAAGAGTAAGTCAGCCCTCCCTGATGGTTCAACAGGTTAGGACGCAGCACTGCAAGCTGGCCACAGCCACTTCAATGCTAGTTCAATTCCCACCCCAGAGGTGACCCACATGGCGCAGCAGACCTCTCCTGTCTCACCCGCTGCTCCCCTCAGCAGTGTAGCTTCGTCAATCTGCCTGTTCTGCACTCCACTCAGGTGAAGCATCTCACTGCCCCTGCACTTCTGGCCTGTACCCCAGTTCTGTTTACATAAATAAGTAAAATCTTTAAAGTGGGGGGAGTGTAAGTCATCTCTTACACTAAAACATAACCGTGTTAAGAATTCATGTTATTTTGTTTTAAGTATTACCAACACAGTAAAAGTGAGCACATTAAAGTCCTGAGGTTACCAGGAACACAGTATGAAGCAGAATTCTATTTTTCTTCTAAGAATCTCAATGGAAAAGTTTGGAATGAGTCTCCTTTGGAAAAAACTGACGGAAAACCCTGTAACACTTTTAAATGCCAAGCATAGTGGAAAACCCTAGGAAATATAAATATGACTTAGGTATAGTGCCTGACAGGCAACAAAGAACCTTCTAGAATCTTCTAGGTCTGTCTGATCTTCTAGGATTAGCAGAAATATCAGGTGCCTGTTGGTAAGGCTGGAGAGAGATGTACAGTTCAGTTTGCTGTGGAATAGTGGGGAAAGAATAGAATTCCAAGAGAGAAGTGAGTCAAGGCGTAAGGAGGCTGTGTTTGATCTCCTGGGTAGTAGCAACCCAGAGGGGGGTTTCAGAAAAGGAGTGAAAACCCCCATTTGTGTTTTGAAAAGGTCCCCTGGGCAGCAATGTAAATGGGTTAGGGGTGAATGAAAGGCCAGGCAGACAGATCATGGAGGGAGAGACAGGGAATGTTCTGGAGCAATTACCAGACCCTGAGCACAGGCAGGGCAGTTAGAAAAGGAAAACAGATGTTCAGGAAATGGAGTCTGCGGGTGTGGTGCCAGACTGCTGCGGGGTGGGAGATGAGAAGTGCAAAACGGGGCCCAGAACTGGGGGATACTGAGGACATAGTGCTGCACCCTAATAGCAACGAGTTCAGGATTCACGTGGAAAATGCTTGTGGAGTCCCTAAGTACATGGCTTGGTTCACACCCCCCACCCCCCATTTATCAACTTTTTGTTGTTGAATATTTAGTTATGGACACGAGCTGGGGTCTAAGCCAGAGGTACAGGGGAGATTCAGTAGACACAGTGGGGAGCAGAACAGGTGGATCAACTTAAATCCACTGCTGAAGGAGGTAGGGGGAAACAGGAGAGGTCTGCTGTGCTCTGCAGGGTTAAAACTCAGGATGACAGTGCTGACGTAACCCCCTGCCACCAGTGAGGCGGCCTAGGCACGAATACGGTCAGTGCCATGTGTTCAGTCGTGTATCGGGGCTCCCTGGTGGCACAGAGGTTAAAGTACAGCACTATGAAGCTGTGCGCAGCCCCTGCAACTCAAGATTACCAGCCGCAGGGCGCAGCAGACCCCTCCTGTCTCCCTACTGCTCCCCTCAGCAGTGGATTTCAGTACATCGGCCTGTTCTGCCCCCCACTCTGTCTCTGGTGTATCCTCACGCCCCACACCACTGACCTGTACCCCAGTTCTTGGATGCATAAATACGTTTCAAAGTATACCAGGAGTCGCATAATGGGGGCTGGGGGCTCAGCTTTCTTGGGGGGCTGGACTGTGGGTTGCCCGTTTCAGTTTCTGCCCAGGAGGGGTCTTTGCTAAGCCCTCATCTCCCGCAGCACACTCGGTTCTGCTCGATTTCTCTTTACCTTTGCCACAGAGGATGTACCTCTTCCTCCAGTGACTGGAAGAGCACCACACTATTTTACTAGTGAGGACCCTCAAACATTCCAAACAATCCAGAAGGGTGTAAAGCTTAAATGTGCCCCAGTCCTACTCAAAGGCCTTTGTCTGAGATGTTCTTGACCGCCGGGACCCTCCCGTCACACTGTTCCCAGGACTCAGAGGCCTTTTCTACAGAACATGGTTCTCATCTCACACCCAAAGTAAACCAAGCACAGCTTGTTTTAGATTCTCCATGTTTTCGTCTGGGTCCGAGGCCTTCCGCGGCGAGGCAGTGCCCGCCAGTGACTCACCATTTGGGGGGTGGGGGAGCAGGGAGCTTGCCATGTTTTGTTTTGTGTGTGAAGCCTTCTTGCGCAGCTGCCGGGGAGCATCGCGGATTGAGTTAGGGCTAAAGCAGCTCGAAGTGGGGGACACCTGCCCCTCACTGTCATCTCCCCGAGCCCCTACCCCTATGTTGGGGGACGCTGCCAGGCTCTGCTCTGCTTATGCGCTTTACAGACGGCGCCGCTCCCTGGAGCTGACGTGTCGGCACGCCGCGCAGGCCCAGCTGTGACCTTTGGTAGCAACAAGACTGTCAGCCTAGACACGCTGTGCTGTCCTTCCACCCCGTGGCTTTTCCTCCAGGATTTACGCTGGAGCCTTTGCTCATGAGTCACTTTCTAACCTAGAGCCTTCCCAGGCTACCTCTTTATTCCCATGACAGCCCTGATGTCTGTCTGACAAAGAGCCGCGACAGTGGCCATTAGCCTAAAGCCTGCAACTAAGTACCAGGGGAGTGAGCGTGGGCAGCCCAGGTCCCCTGACCTCCACCCCTCACCCGCCTTATTCTTCTTTCACTTTAAAATACAGACATGATTGTGTATAATAGACGCTAACAAATGGCAGCATAATAAAGTTAACATCGTCAATGTCAAGACAGAAGACTTGGAAGGTTCTAGATAGTCAACCCCTTTGTTTCCTCCAGCCCCCCTCAGTCACTCCCCAGCGAACGGGGCACCCCCCACCGCATTTTAAGCATGAGGTATCCAGGTGACTCAGGTGCAGCACCCCCCGCTGGTGCTCATCTCACTGCCAGCTCGCCCCAGCCAGGCCTCCTGGCACGGCACAGCATCCTGCTGTGATAAGCAGCAGCAATTCTTTTTAGTGAATGATGGAACTAGAATAACTCTCCACATCCAAATACAAAGCTCCAACAGGTTCTGCAACACGAGTTCCTTTTGCAAAACGCTTACACTCAGGAGCTGAAGTGCAACCACGCCGGTCCCCCGCTCACCCGGCTCAGGCGGACCGACCACCTGCTAGCGGACCGACCACCTGCTAGCGGACCGACCACCTGCTAGCGGACCGACCACCTGCTAGCGGACAAGCGCGCTCTCCAGGAGACGGGGCCGGACAGAGGAAGTTCAAGGGAATCAGCTGGCAATGACCCTTCTCTTTCATATTCCAGAGAAACCCAGTCATCGCCCCCGCCCCCCCGATTCCTTACCACTGCACCTGGGACCCCCCCACGTCCTGACCCCCAGCCACATGCCCAGCACACCCCTGCTGGCTCACCCTTCCATTTCCCGCCCGAGGCCGCCTGGGAGTTGTAACCGTCTCCATCACAAAGGCGCAGGCACACCGGGGCTACCTAATTGTTTTAATATTCAGAGTTGGGAGAACCAGAGCCCCCCCGGGGATGCGAGTTTATAAATTCTCGATGGGCTTGTGCGGCCAGTAGGGGTACTTCGTCTTGTCTAACTTGGTCTCTGGGAAGACTTCGTTCAAGTCCTCGATGGTCATCTGATCAAATGGGATGATGTTCTTTATCTTCTCCAGCTGGAAAGAGGGGACAGTGTGTTAAGGGCGCACAGGGGTGCAAAGGGTGCCACAGGGGTGCAAAGGGTGCCCAAGGCAGGTGACTGCCGGCGCAAGGTGTGGCCGTGAAGGGAAACCCGGCGCGCCCAGGCCAGGACTCGTCCTTACCTCTCTCTGGTACTCCTCAATCCTGGCCTTCGAGAGGTTCAAAAACTCAGCACAACTCTTCACCTTTAAGAGAAGGGAACAACTTCTGTTTCGAAAAGCACGTGGCGCAACACCTTCACTGCCGGCAAGCAGTCGGGAGCTAAGCTCCGCTGGACAATCCCCTGACTCCTCCTAACTCCCTCGTCGCTTTTTTCACAGCTCTGTGGAGGCGTCACTGACATGCAATGCAGTGAGATGTGGAAAAGCACCATTTGCTAAGTGCGCACCAGGAAGCCATCGCCGCCAACATGGTTTCTCAGCCCCCAGCAGCCCCCCTGTGGGTTTACTGTGACCTGGGGCACTCCAAGCGTTCACAGAGACGGAATCATGTACTACGTAGGTCTCCGCGGGCTTCCTTCACTCAACAGAAGTATTCTGAGGTTCATCCGTGTTACTGCACTGATTTGTAGCTGGCTCCTCTCCACTGCTCCTGTTCTAAAAACTCACTTGACCTTAACCTAAGTGCTATGGAATACAGAGCTGTGGAGATGAAGAGAATGAAGGGAGACTAAAAAGCGAGAATAAGCAAACGACTTACATCTTCTTTTTCTTCAGCATCCACCAGGGCAGTATATTTATCCTCTGGCACAGGAACCTTCAGAGCCTTGAACTGCACACAAAGGGCAGGGAGTTGTTATCAGTGTACCCCAGGAGCCGAAAGAAAGGGCTCAAAGCCGCTAACCCTCCCAGATCACATAAAACATGTTCCCCATTCAAGAGGAAGCCAGTGTGCACCTGGGTATTATGGGAAATGAGCAGGCAAGGAATGGGGGCTCAGGGTCTTCTCCACTGTCACTAACTAACTGAAGACCTTGTTATAAGCCTGAGTTTCTTCATCTGAAAGGGCAGCTAGAACCGATGAAACAGAAAATGTTTCTTAGCACTTTGAAGTTCTAAAGAAATTCTGATTGCTCTTTAAAAAAAAAAAAAAAACCAAATTATTTATGCATTCAAGAGTGCGGGTGCAGGCCAGAGATGCAGGGGGTGAGAGGATTCACCAAAGATAGAGTGGGGAGCAGAACAAGTGAACTGACTGAAATCTACTGCTTCCCTCAGCAGTGGACCAGACAGGAGAGGTCTGCTGTGCCATGTGGGTCACTCCCTGGTGGGGGACTGAACTTGTACTGTAGTGGCCGTGGACAGCTTCATAGTGCTGCTAACCCTTCTGTCTCCCCACTGCTCCCCGCAGCAGTGGATTTCAGTAGAGCCACCTGTTCTGCTCCCCACTCTGTCTCTGGGGAATCCTCTAACCCCCCCCCCGACCCCCCCCATCTCTGGTCCACACCCCAGCTCTTGTATACATAAATAAAATAAATCTTTATAAAAGAACAAACAAACCCTAGTGGACCTATTTGCAAAAGTATGGGGTTCATAAGGAGGAAGGAGGTGGTCTCCTAAAAAGGTTCTCAGTGGCCTGGCACGGGGCACTGTGCCTGACACTGAGCAGACCCTGGATAAGCATCTACTGAATGAATAAACAAACAAAAAGTCAACTGCCAAAAGAAAAAGATGTTATTTTGTTTCAATGGGAGACAAAATGAGCAGAAACATTGAAGGCTTCCCACCTAAGGCCGCACAGACTGTTTCTCTGCATAAGGAACCTGCTGAATGAAGAGACCCTGAATGCTCTGCACCGATTCACTATTTTCATCTACCACCGCATGACCTGGCCAAACAAATCTCCTGAGCTCCCTTTGGGGTCTGAGTGCTAACACCACCCTTCGATCCTCACTGTCATCTTGTGTTTGTATTATCATCTCCCCCTCTCCCCGCCAAAGCCACATTACAAGCTGTGCGGTCTCACCTGCTTCTCAAAGTCATCTACCAAGCCAGCCTTCTTCACGTTGGCCTTGTAGTAAGCCCAGTCGATAGCAGGGGGGTTCTCAGGGAGAGTAGCCAACCTGCCGCACAGAAAAGCCAAGTGAGCACCGTTCCATGAGCAAACAGAAGACCCACGTGGTAATTTCCCAGCTCCTCACTCCTACAACCTGGAGCCACCATCCCACCTCCCTCTAGGAGGGTGATCACCAGGATGCAAACGGATTTGTAAACTGACTGGACTTCTTTATATTTCTTCTCAGAAGACTATCAGACAGGCATGTAATTCCACATTCAGTGGCAAGATGCACTCTCAGAAAGGTACGGACCTGGAGGTGAGGGTCTCGTTCCAGGATTTCAGGGAGTTGGCAATGGCCTTTTGGTTTCGGGGGATGATCTCTCCAAAAGCTACCCAGTCAATGGCTTTTAGAGCAAGTTTTCGCCCAGCCATCTTGAGATCCTGGAAAATAAAATAGGTCAGAACAAAACAGGGTTCTCGGAGTTCCCTAAAGGGCATCTTAGACTCAAGCAGTGCAAGCCTTTTAAGTCAGCAGGGGATAACCAGGCCAGAATAAGCTGCACTGTATCACAAGCTGACAGGGGAACAGGGTAAAAAGCCCCTTAAGTCTGGATAAAACTAGCACCCATGAGGTGGCCAATCTCACTGGACACTTTTAGCAGCCTGAAGTGAGCAGGGCTGGTATTATCCCCATTTTACAGATGAATAAATTCTGGCCTACAGTCTGCTCTTTTTAAGGGGTGCAGGGGGGGAGAAGAGTATGTGTGTTCAATTAAAGAAATTAGGGTAAATTGCCAAAAGGCAGTTTAGTTAATTCAAGGTGTACAACCTGCACCTTTCTACCTGTGCGCCTGATCACCCCCTGCGGCATTAGCACAGACCCACATATACTAGAAGAGCCTGCTAAGAGGTGTTCACGACCTAGCGAACACGACAACAGATGGAGAGGGGTCACAGGCCTTTTTCTGGTTTGTTTTCACCAAACAGAGTGTGGGAAAGTAGTTACAAAGTCACCTTAAAGGAAAAGGGTCAGGGTCAGACATCAGGAGGGAGACTTGTAAAGTCCCAGGTCTTCACCGAACTATGGGCTGGGTGCATCCAACCCACAGGGAAGTGGAGCAAATCTCCCTCGGGGTCTTTAAGAAAAACTCTCCCAACGCCGGAGAAACAAGACTTTTCAAAACACCGGAGGAAAGCAGGCTTCAGGACGAAGGGGTTCTGCCTTCGAGACGAGAACGGGCCGCGCACAGGGCGGCGCTGGCCGGATACCTGCCCGTGAATTCTGCCCTTGACAGCGCTGCACGCTGCACGCGCGGGGGCTGGAAACCGACGACAGGGGAGGGGCAGTGCCAGCCTGCTGTGTCCCGCGACATATCAATACCAGCTAACTCAACTACCCAAGCCCGTCGCGCCGGGGCGACCAGAACTGGGCACGGACTGAGGCGGCGCCCGAGTCCGAGGCGGCCGGGTCACTGCCGGGCCCCGCGACCTCGCGCGCGGGGGAGGGATAGGAAGGCAGCACTGAACAGAGCGCTCCGCCGGCGGGGCCCGCGCGGGGCCGGCGCCCCGGCAGGAGTGCGACCTGGCTCGGCGCGAAACTCGGAGGCAACAGGGCAGAGGCGCCGACGCCCCAACCCCACTCACCTTCACCGACCCGGGCGGCCCAGAGTCCACAGCAGAAAGTGGCGGAAGTGGGTCACAGGAAGGCCTCCCTTCAGCCAACCACAAAGCCGGGGGGGCGGGCCTGGCATCGCGGAGCAGCCAATGGTGACGCCGGGTGGTTCCGGACGTCCCGCCTCCGGGGGCGGGGACAGCGCCTCCACCTCGCGGGTCTGCGGACGCTGG